GTGCGTGCGTGCGTGCGTGCGTGCGTGCGTGCGTGCGTGCGTGTGTGTGTGTGTGTGTGTGTTTTGTGTATGTGTGTGTATGTATCTACGTATTACATATTATAATTCAACTAGGAAAGATATATACACATTAAATATTTTTCATAGTTGAATTGTCATCTATATATTAATGTTAGTTTTGAAGAAGCATATAATATGTCTTATTATTTAAAGCACAAAATTTTATTGATTATATATAATTAATTTATAACTACATATATATGTAGCGAGTATCGTGACATCTTGCATTTTATTTGGGCTGTAATTTTTCTTTTTTTTTTAATATTGATTTTTTTAATCAAAATTTTTTAATAAGAGCATATTTAGACCAAATTTAAACCTCTAGAAATAATTAAAATTGATACTATTAACTACGACCATTTTTATAAACAAACCGACTGTTTTGAATTGAAAAGACAAAATTTTGCATGGTGTGAACTATTTTCTTTACAGAACGCTGTTATTATTCCGTTCTAAATACAAATCTTGTGACGACAGAAAAATAATATATTAAATTGTTAAGAGTTACAACATTGTTGTGAGCGTTTTTGAATATTGGCCTTTGTCTCAGTTAAATTTATTAATAGTCTCGATAGTACATTAGTACTACAATTAAGTCATATCATTATTAAAATTTGAATCAATGTATCTATATATTTTCTATAAGCATTATATGTTCATATAACTCTAATGGACCAGATGTTTATACATATATTATTACACACTAGCAGATAAGCTAATATTTACTTAAAGATATCTAAGAAATGTTAATGTTAAAATTCCAGTTGATCGGAATAGGAATGAAATTTTGATGTTTTTAAGATTATGCCTATGCACAGAATTTTTCTGAAAATGGTTATAGTTATTCCTGTTGTAAAATATATGAATATTATGATAAAGATACTTTTTTCATAATTATATATTTAGATAGGAGAAAAACATATATATGTATACATATACATATATGTATATATATTATTGAAGAATATATTATTTTAATGTAATGTAGTTTTACTTAAAAAAAAAAAAAAACTAATTTACTACGTTGTTTCATATAATATCCTACAGTAGAGGAGACTGTTTATCATGAAACAATTTTCGTAGAAATAATTTCTTTTACGTACGTATTTTCTTTTAATCCAACATATAAATAAAGTGAGATTTTTACAGATTTTTACAGATTTTTTTTTAAACAAAATTCCTTAGAGTCCTTAACCATTAGTTTTGAGAAATTTAAATATAAAAATCGAAGATTTCTTTCTGTTTCAAAACAGAAATTCTAATATGCTTATTTAAATTTATTTATATCTTACAAAAGTGGACTTAGGTATAAAGCAATAAAATTAAATAAAACGTACAAAGTTCTTATGTTTGAATGATGCAAATATATTTTCAAAATCATAAAGAAATATAATTGAAAATTAAATGCAACACATGTACCCTAAATTATTCTGCAGGATACAAAATATAGGTCAGTATTCAAAATCGGTTCTTATTTTAAGATCGTCTTAAATAATGTCTTAAGATGCTAATACGGCCCTCTGATTAGCTTATGACATTTTAAGACTGTACTTGAGCCAACTTCAAGTATAAGAATCGATTATGAATATCGGTCATAGTCCAGAAAATCATCGTAAGGTAACACAGTGAGATGAATTTTATTAAGTGTCCTCAAATACTTGAAGCACGTAACAGTCTCCACTACTACTATCGGTACATACGATGGATAGGGTACAAATATAGAATAACTTTTTAAAAATAAATATGAGAGAATATGTTTAACATACCAATTATATGTTTATAAATTAAATTATGCGCAACATGTTGCATGATTTATTGCAATAATAGTACAATGAAAAACATACATATTGAATACACATAGGACAGCCATAAGCAAAAAAACTGATCGGACAAAGAAGTTTAAAATTTTTCCTTAAATCCTATATAGATTTTGTATGACATGTAACATTTGTGAAATAAATCTGTTTTAAAGTATAAGTATCAAACTTTAAAGAAATTCATATTTAATGATCATAGTAATGTTTTACCCTTTAATTTTATTATTCTTTTATTAAGAAGTAAATAACAATTTTATCATTAAAAAATTAAGCGAATATTTTGTAAACTGTAGTTTTATAGATTAATAGAGTGATGTTGGAATAATCCGCATATATGTATTTTGTGTTATAATGTGTACTAATTAATTAAATAGCAATATATTGTATGCTTTGCATGTAATCGAATACGATAAACGATAAACTATTTTGTTTTATTTTAGTCGTATTCCATTAACTAAATAATTAATTTTCCATGTATTTACCTAGTCAAGAACAAATGAGACATCTGGAACGTCAAAGGATTTTTCTTCGTCCAAGTCATCAACAATCCCTGACCTTCCTAAGGCAGCAAATTTTGAACGTTGTACTTCAATGCAAACTTTATCATCTCGAACGAAAAAAAAATCTTTGCCAAAACGCAGTATTACATTTGCCGATCTGCCACCGTCTTTAAAAAAGAGTTCAGATTCTATCGTTTATTCGTCCCACATTAAGCCTACTCTATCTAAACTTGAACAATCAAATCGGCCATTGCAGGAAGCATCTACTTCTTTTCCACAAGTTATTTCCTATCAAACACCTGCACGTTTCCAACTTCCCCCAACACCTCTAACTGCTCCTGAATGCTGGGAAAATCTTGATACTTCGGCTTCTTTTAGCAAACGACAGATAGCACGTTCTGTTGATGGAAATGTTCGGGTTGAGGTGGGTTTGAAGAGCATGTTTAATTGATAATATATTAATATACTAATAGAATACATACACATATATATTATATATAATATATATAGTATATACCGAGCATTACCGTGTCTCCAGACATGTGTATGTATTATATATATATATACTGGAACAAAGTTTCTATAATCTAAAAAATAAATTTGTCTACTAATAAAAGCTTCAAATTTCTTGAATGCAATCCAATTAAGTCTTATTTATTTTATTTATAGCATGTATTTATGAGACTGAATGCAATATGTAAATTCTTTATTCGAGATTATTATTATAATTACTCTCTATAAAAAATATACAAATCGATATTTATTTGTGTAAATGTTTATAAACACAGCAATCTCCAACTTCATCTCCAACACCACCATTAACAAAAATGTCAGTCAGCGATAAAAAGAAGTTATTTGAAAGTGCCATGGAAGAACATTTGAAACCGTCGCCTAAACCAGGTGAGAATATACATATGTATTTCGTGTATATATGTACCATATACTTTAAATATTATATATTTTATGCTTATATATAAGATATTGATTTCGAAAAATAAATCAATAATTGTATACATATATACATTACAGATAAAATATTCAGTTTTTTAAGTCAAGATGAGGTAGAAAAAATGAGACAAGAGGAAGGTAAGCTGTCACTTGTAAATATAGCTAACCAGTTTTTTTTATTTTATATCGTATGTTTTATCTTAACATCATTGAAAATAACTATAAGAATCATGTTTTTCTAGAAAAAAAAATTGCAACTTTGACGCGAGATGAACTCAAATCATGGGCACAACTTGATGATAACGAAGGTCTTGAAGATTTCGATACAATGGATGATCAGGATAATGGACGACCTAAGTAAGCTTCAATCTTCACGTTTAAGGCTGGTATTCATAATCGATTCTTATATTTAAGACTATCTTAAGTACAGTCTTAAGATCTCTTAAACTAATCAGAGAACCGCATTAGTACCTTAAAAGATTACTTAAAACGATTTTAAAATAAGAACAGACTATGAATACCGGCCTAAATCATTCCTTATTTCGAAAATAATGCAAGCTATTGCAATATTCTACGCATAGATTAAATGGTAACATTTATGTCTAATATAAATAAGTATAAAAGTATACAACTAAATATATTTCATGTACAAGTATTGTAAAAAAAATAAAATGAAAAATTATATATATATTAGATTATATGAATAAAACGTATTATATCAAACAGCTTTTACAAAATTTAAAAAGTTATATTAATATTATGTTTACATTATATATATATGTATATATATATATATATACATATATATATATATTAACTAATTTACGATCTATAAACAGGATACATTGGTTTTAAATAAATCTCGTGTAATACGGTTAATAATATACTTATATCATTCTGTTTAACTTTAGAATAAATTAATTTTTTGCGAGAGGAGGGAAGGAGAAAGAACAAAAGGATGGGAGGGAGAGAGAGAGAGAGAAAGAATATAATATGTATGTTTAAAATATTAAACATTTGTGTTCAACCATTTGAATACTAACAAGCAATGTATACGTTATGGACTGGACATAATTGAATTATAATTAATTACGATAGAACAAATTTCAGATTATTAAATTGTTAGAATCTAATAGCTTTTATAATATTCGAACTATTGGTTATGGTCAATTATGAATACAATGCAGAAATTGAGGTTTTTTTACTTATGTTCCCAAGTAAGTGATAGCATATTTTAAACTCTATTATAGAAAAATTAATTTCAAACTTTAACATTTGAATATAATTGTATAATTATGTTTTGCATACATGCAGCGTATATTCTATATGTTTATTTGCATTTTTATTTATTGCCAATAAGTTTTAGATATGAATTTGTTACAGCTTATATATTCATATGCTATATATTGTTATTGCTTATATTTATTCCTACGTTTGTTTATATATGTATATCAAATAATTATATATATATTTCGTATAAATTTTATTACATATATGTATATACATAATGAAAGAAAAAAAATTTTATACACAACCACTAAAACAAATTTTAGTTAAATTATTACACTAATAACGCAATTTCAGGAATAATTGTTATCAAAATCTTTAATGAATTACATTCTCATAAAAATTGTAGAATACTAGTAATAACTTGTTAAGTTTAAATTATAATTGAAATAAATTACTATTTTAAATATGATTTAAACATATTTGATACTTAAACTATTAATATTGCTTATAAAAGATATGGAAACTTTACTATATTTTTTAGTAATAAATATGTAAACTGAAATAAATAAATTGTTCTGTGTTCTATTCTGTTCTACTTATATCTATTAACACTCACAATTTGTCCCTGGCAATTCGAAATGGGAACACGTACACGCGCGCGCGCGTATGTGTGTATAGGGTGTCTTATAATCACCATAGAATACTTTCACAGTATATTCTAGAAATAAAAATCCTAATGTGAAAATGTTAAGGCTACAATAATTTTTTGAATTAAAAGCTGTCTTTGATCAATTATAATTCAAAAACTATTATAGCTTTGACATTTTTGTTTTAAGATTTTTTATTTTATTGTACTTCTCTCCCTAGAATACGCTATAAAAATATTGTACAGTGGTTGTGAAACACTGTGTGTGTACACACACACACATACACACACACACACGCACACATACACACACTCTCGAACTTTTGGCAACGATCTGTAACGTGAACGATCTGAACTAATTTTGTGTTGTCTCTGTATTTTTAAATAAATGTAAAGTTTATAGCGTATATCATTCGTGAATATGAATTCTCATTACTTTCCAGTAGTCGACTGAGCTCGCGAACTTCGATCCCTCTTATTCAGAATATTCCCAGCAGCGTACGGACAGCAAAAGCGGAACGTCGTTTTAAAGAATCTCTTAATGAAAAGGTATTATATTTTTTTCAATATTTATTTATCATTTTATTAGATAATATGATCATGTATAGGATCTTTCAATGTTTTAATTAAAATTATGAAGAAAACATTTATTAATTCGTGTATGTGTGTGTATACATATGTTTTCTTCATAATTTTAATTTTATATTCGAAGGGCCTTATTCCGGATGAGAATGAGGAACACATTTTAAGTCCTGCAGAACAGCGAGCGCTTCAAGCGGAGAAACGTGCTGCTTGGCGACAAGCGCGTTTTAAATCTCTCGAGCAGGTAAAGTTGAAAGATTCTATACATTTATGAAAAGATTGATAATAATATAATATTATAATAAAGTAGATCTGTCTAAAATAAAATAATACGATAAATGTTTCTCCTTTATAGGATGTGCTCCAAGCACAAATCTTTATTAGAAAGATGAATGAAATAACGGATATTGCTAATAAAGAAGATACGACTGCAACCGTATCTACTCCTGATCAAGAGAAAGCAGTCGAGGTAAAATTTTGAAAGTAGTATTTCAGGACGAAATTAATTATATACAATAATTTAACATATATAACAAGATCCTGCAAGCTTGATTATTTTAAAGTTATGTGTTTAACCCGATTATTTACTAATCGCTGTCTTGCTCGCCTAAACTAACACAACATTCATGAAGGAAAAAATCATTATTACAACGGTTCCCATTTGTCTGTCTTTCACTATCTTAGTTTACTACGTTACGGCCGTCTAGCGCAGATTTTCCTAAACTCGCTGTGCGCAGTAAAGTGGGTCCTCCTAAAGAGATACGCGAATCTGAGAAAGTAGTGGACGAGAAGGTCACTCAGCGTACCGAGGAATATACTGATGAAGTGACCGGCGAACGTCGTGTACGAACTGTCGAATACGTCGAGAAGCTCATTGAGCATCAGGTATTATGCTTGTAAAATTTGGCACGAGCATTTAAGTACCACATTTATTATATAAATGAAAGGATTAAAAGCACAATAATAAATTATCACTGTTGCAACTATCTCTGGAGTGCACCATATTTATTCCGATTCTTTTTTTTATCGTTTTATTTTATTTACGGATATAAATAAAAAAAAACGGATATATTCTAAATCGCACATATGTTTTGGGAAACTTGCGAGCTTATGATTATCTATTAACATTTTGTTTAACAACTGATTGATTAAAAAACTATTGTTGATAACATTAATTAAGTAAAATGATAGGGAGCAAATTACAAGGAGATATAACGCTAAAAATCTAAAAAGCACCTCTAAACATAAAATAATATTAATTAAATTCAGTATATTTTATACGTGTATACCCTATAAAAAAAAATTGCATTACAAAATTAAGAAAAGTTTTTTTACATGTGTTTTTATCTGTATGTATCTATGTAACACCTGTGTACTGTATTTGTTAAATTATTATTGTGTTATTGTTATTTCAAGATTCCGTCGCTTACATCGATGGTATATTATGCGCCATCTTGAACTATGAATGTTACTTCTATTGATCTCACTAACAACTTTTTCCTACTCATTGGTAATTTGGTTTTTATATATCTTATGTATATATTTTGAGCTTATGGCTTTATATTTGTATACAGTGTACGCATGACTTATTTTGTTTATATTTCTATGCTCGATATGTATTTTGTTGCATGTACAGACGTAAAATTATGCTAAAAGAAGTGTCGGAAGTATCAAAAAACATAGAACAACTAATACATTTTTTCTATTAAAATTAGAATTGAAATTTTGTTCTATAAAGCCTTTAAAGAACAGAAATAAAAAGTGACGCTAATGTAAATCGGATGTACATACATCTACAAACAGATATCATAGAAATTGATATGTTATTTGATCTATGTAATCTCAATTTATATATATTCTACATATATCATAAGATATTTAGATTGTCTGTTGCAAACTATAAAAATGTTTTAATTGCATTGTTTGCAACATACGCTTTATAAATTCAGGTTTGCGTACAATTAATTACGATTGAAATTTATAATTTACATATTTTAATTAGGTGGAAACTTTGAGGGAGAAAATTATATCATTGGAATTAAGCAATGCAGAAGAGGATGTAGAAAGTATAACTGGCACTGGTGCAAGCGATGCTGAAAGTGAAAGTGAAGATATTACAAGACAAAATGTGGCTGTTAGTACCGTAAAAGAAAAAACAGATTCTCATCTTACGACTAACACATCTGAAATTGCAAATGAAACGTCTACTAAAACAAATGCAAATCTTACTGCATCTACAAAAAAGAAGAAACGTAAACGATCAAAAAAAGGTCGTCACTAACGAAATATTTCAATGTGTATCTTAAGTTAAACAATAGGATAGATGCGTTGATGTTAAAGACTTGGATAAAAAACGATGAAATTTTTACTATTCTAATATTTTACTATTGCACAAATTCATTGTGTAACATCGTTTTATGTGAATATGCATACATTTATGTTATATAGATAAATTATACATATGCATTTATATATGTATATTTCAATTGATTTTTTAAAATTTTTAATGCATCGGTATTATTGTTTTATGTTTTTATCTCATCTTTCTTTTTCCTCACATAAATGTAATGAGTAATATAAATATATAAAAATGGCGATCTGGCATTAAATAAACGTATTGTATTCAATGAAAATGTAATATTTATATAAATATTTCGTGATTGATTCAGTGAATACAATACATCCATTATCTGTAGAAGTATAATTGCTATTTTTATTACATTTTGTGTATCTCATCATACATGTATTACAATTTCGTAAATCTAATACATGCTGCAAATTGGTTAATTTGCATATTTTGATATTATAATTTAAACATTACTGCATTTTTGTACGTTATTATTGACATATTTAAAAATTAATTCATAAATTTCGCTTGCAATTTTGTTAACACACTCATAGAGCATAAATTAATTAAATTTAAGAAAAAAAGAGATTAAAGATAAAAAAGGAGTAATAAAGTAATATCTCAGTGACAAAGAATAATACACGGAAACCTATACATTTATGCCATTTTTATTATTTTTTGGATATATTTTTTAGCAACGTTCTAATTTTATTTTATATATGAATATATTTTAATATAATCTGTTTTTATCTTTTGATCGTGTGTAACAATTATGTTTCTACATAAATCGGAAATCATAAGAATAATACGATATAGTTCGCGAACGCAGATGCAAAATAAAGATTTACGTTTGTTTTTATACTGATTTGGTTTTCTGCTTGTATCTTGCGTGTGGTGATCGTCATTCTGCAATCAGCATTCTGTGAACTACGTTTTGCGATTTGCAATTATGTAGAAACACCATTATACACATATGCAATAGTTATATACGATACATGTGTGTATGTATATATATATATATGTATATGTATGTATATATATATACATATAGATAAATATATGTATGTATATACATATGGGCCTGAAGTACCCTCTCCGCGAGGCTGGGATGATGACGGAGGGGTTTTAGTCGGTAGGCGCCGTCGGTTAGGGTGACCGTGGTTTAGGCCACTGGTCCCGGCTGGCGGTGAATCCGACACTCCCTGGGGTTGGTTATCCCAGAGGTCTTTGGAAGATAACTTCGAAAAAAAAAAAATGTATATACATATATTGAGATAAAAGACAAAAGATATATTAGCGAGAAATCGTCAGACGCCATTACATTTTTATTATGCGCATGATGAAAATCGTATACTTCTGTTTTTCCATAAAATTCTTTGAGTTTTTATATATATATATATTATATATAATTACGATTATGTTTTATAAGTGTAGTATAACATTTTTACAACGTCCATTGTCATATACTAGTTATTTGTATTCATTGAAACAATGGAATTTGTTTTAAAATTGTTCTTTCTACTTACTTTGCTAATATCGTGTAAAGATATCAATAATTAAAGATATCAATAATCAATAATTAAAATTGCTCTTTCTACTTACTTTGCTAATATCGTGTAAAGATATCAATAATTTTAATTATTGCTGAAATATTTAAATTATAGACTTTAGATTGGCCAATGGCTTACCTTATGTGTGTGTTTGTAGAATATTTTATTTATTTAACATGATTTTAATATATAATTTTTACATAGATATTTTGATCTATAATAGAATACTGTAGGAAAAACAAATTCGTGCGCGTATTATTTGAGTCAAATAAGAAAATATCAAATTTCGATTTACTTTAATGCAAATTATTCATAATGAGAAGCTACCAAAAAATTGAGCAAAATATAGACGTAGATTATTATATATAATTTAATAATTTGAATATATAATTAGAATGAAGTTTACATCTGTTTCTATACATATTTAATACTTCGAATAATTTTTAATGCATATACGCCAGACTGTGAAAAATTTAAGACATCACACTTTATATAATTTATCATTTATAAAGTATTCGTAATATTGTGTTTACGAATATTATTTTATACCGAATATTTTTTTACATTTGTTAATAAAAAAATATGCGGTTAAAAATATATTTATTTGCTAGATACACATAATATAACATACATGGAATTTTTTCCAACAAGTGTAAATAAGTAAAATTAAATAAAATTACGGTTTTTTACTGTTTAAAGTTCGATTAAGAATGAGGGACCAATGAATGAAATTAAGTGAACTCGTTTATCATATAGAAAAGGCACTTGAAAGATATACTGTATTATTAATGTTTAGATATTAGAATGTTAAGTTCTATCCTTTAAAATACTAATTAGTAGAATACTAATTAGTGTATTATGTATTAGCATATATGAGTGAGTGAAGAAAAATCCAAAATTTTTATTTTACTAAACCAATCTATCTAATTGAGACTTTTTATCTTTAATTATCTGGCACACATCGAGACTATTGATAAACACATCGTAATTTTTTATAAATCATTATTAATTATATCATTGTTGTAGAAATATTATTAAAGTGCCAATGTTAGTATTTTCATATAAGAATACATCATATATTTTGTTAAATTATCTAATTATCATACAAATACATTATACATATAGTTTCTTGTTTTGCTGTCTCACTTCCTCAATTTTATTTCAGCAATGTAGTGCATCATTATCATATAAATTGTACAACATAGATTCAATACTTATCTATATGAGTCATTTTTGACTTGTATAGCAAGATACAATTCTTGCCTATCAAAGTTTAATAATGCGTTTAAATGTGGATATTAAATATACAATATTTTAGTTTTGAAATATTTTTAAATGATGCAAATATTAATTATTTTTTAATTATATTAATTGTATAGTATAAGATGATTTTATTAAAATGATTTTATTAAAATGTATTAACTATACATTTTAATGAAATCATCTTATACTTTTATTTCTTTATTATTATATATATTTAGATTTAAAAACTGTGGAGGGTAATATAAAGAATGCCGAACATCTCATAAGCATTATATGAAATATAAAATAGATTAATAGAGACAAATCATCACACACATACACAATTAATAAAAAAACTAATTATGCATAAATCTTAAGTTTTCTTTTATAGATCTGTCTTTCAAATTATTTATTATTTATAAATTAGACAGAATATCCTTTTCTCATAAATAGCATTATAATATGCTCGAAAACAAAATTTTATGTAATTACTGTTACATTACAAGTGTATATTTTATATTTTTTTCCTATGACCATTGTGAACATTTACCAATTTGGATGGTAAGAAGCAATAAGTATCTTTTAAGATATTTTACCAAGAGTTTAAGGTTTTAAAACATAAAATGGTTATGTAAAAATAAAAATAATTTGTGCACCTATTTGTAATAAATAGTTGATATTTTATTCATAGGATGTGTATTTATTAAGATCTTATGTATTTTTATTCCTGTTTAATAATTATGTTATGTTAAAGTTTGTTAATTATCATAAACTGCATAAAAGTACACACATAATTCTCTAGATAATATATATCATATTCTAAATATCATAAATTATTTCAAATGAAAATTTCATCTGCACAGTTACTTTTTTGACGCTATTATACCTTCCAATTGAGTCTGAAAAAAATTATAATTGATTATGATATAATATTTTTATGATATTATTGATTTATGTGATAAAAATGTTCTACAATATAAATAATACAGTTTAAAGCTAATTCTACAATGTACTTTTTATTTCCTGTTTCTTGCTATTTATCTCTTGCCTTCTTGATTTTGAAAAAGGCAAGAGACAAACAGAGCAAAACAACAAGAAGCAGGAAACAAAAAAAGCACATTGTAGAATTAGCCTAAAACTCATAATGATATGATAAATTTATATAGAATAACTAAATCAAAAATACATTTTGCAAAGTGTATGTCTTGCAATTATATTATTTTGTTTTATACACTTAAAAATATTTATATTTTTGTAGCTCTTTGTATATATCTATATTTTATGCATTTCAAAATTTATATTACATGTGTAAACACGTATTATATTTATCTATGTAATTAATCTTTTCTAAACAATTAGATAAGAGGTAAGATGATTAAAATATCTAAACACAAATATTTTGAAATAAAATACAATAAGGATATGATCAATGCTACAAATACTTTAAAGCGTTTCTTAATTGGTCAATTTGTAAAATTCTTTCTATTCTGATTGGTCAATCAAACACTTCAAAGCATTTATGTAAGACTTTTTTTAGTGAGACTTTGATCATACCCATGTATAGAGCTACATAAATACAAATATTTAAGATATTGCAATATGTTAAGATTTATAACGTAAAACACTCCCATACTGCCTTAAAATTAAATAAATATTTTTACCTTCAATTGCATATTTGTTTTTTTAAGGAATTGCACTTCCTCCATATGTTTTTTTTCCTCCGCTTCCCTTAATTCGGCCGATCTTTTCTCAGATTGATCATATTTGAGTCGTAATTCTGCTACTGTTCTCTCTAGCTCAATTTTTTGTAGTTTTAATTCCTCGGCTGTATTAATTAAATTTTCTTTGCCTTGCTCGGCCTGTAAAAATAATCTTTTATCAACGATTATATGATAATAAATTTTATATAGACTGTAGTAGAACAAAAGGTATTCTGTGCGTGTTTTATAAACTCAAAAAAATGTGTATGATATTAGAAAGGATAGGTACTTGCAGCGCTTTACGCATTCCGAAAGCGATGCTACTTTGATATAATGTCTGGTACGCAGCTAATGTCATTTTAATTTCGTCCCGTACTCGCAATAAAAGTAATCCACGTTCGGCGCAATTTACAGTTACTTGCCGTATTAATTCATCTGAGGAACATGTAACAATATGCGATATTATATTTGCACAAATATATGTTTCAATTTAAATATAAAATTTATGCATGATTATATACATATATACCGAAACATTGTGTATAGAGCTGTCTACGAACAGGACAAATACCGGTTTCTCTTGCCTGCCTTTGTTGCAATCGCATATCGAGTTGTTCTTGTAAATTAATCACATCTAATCTTGTTGCGGGAGTACTCGATACCTAAATAATATATGTTATACATTTCTATTGTACATTGAAAATATAGCCTTAAGAATGTGTTTAATTTTACGCGCTGAGTCCATATTTGGCCCTCTTCCTCCCATTCTTTCGGTGGTAAAATTCTATTTAAAATTTCGATAGTTTCTCGTCGTACATCAACTGGAGGTAAGGTTGTTTGAATTTTGCAAGTAGCTATACCAATTTTTGCTGGTTCCTTACGTATCTATTGTTTGATTAAAAAATATTTAATGAATAAAAATACAACATAAGATATATAAGCAGGTATATATTTATTGCTTCATATTTACATCCTACATGCAGAATTACTTTTTTAAGATATCGTAATTCATGTAAAAATACATAATAAAATGGTAATAAAAATTCGTCGCACCTTCTCTGGATGAGTCGTAATTAAAACTGGATTATCATACTTGACCAGTGTGTCCATAGCAGGAATTGTTCGTTCTTTAATCGCTGTCGCCATTTATTTAAATAGGATTTACATAGAACGTAACTAAGCGCTATTATATGTTGAATATTATTTATCGCGAGTGATACGATATCAAAGCGATAACTTTCATTCTTAAAATTGGTAGCTGAAAGAAACGTTGTCATGGAAACATTGATGCACCGCACCATCATTCACAGCCGGCTTTTACTTCATACCGCCTAAAGCGCCAATCGTTCGATGGCTTGATCCATTTCATCATTTTATACCAAAAGAAGAGAAAACTTAGTGCGAGCATTAAGTAAGAGCCGGTTACAATATTCAATTTTTAATTAAAATAATAAATAAAGTTATTTAATAAATAAATTATTTATATACATTTACCTGTCAAAGTTGAATATTCTGCGACAGCTACGATAGATGCGTGCTTTGTATTATATATCTCGTTTATATAATTGCAAAAAATAGAATACATATAGAAATGTACACGAAGATTTTTTATAAATGATAGTTTAATATCGCAATTTATCATTTAAAATAAAATTATATTCCGTCATCCGTGTGTGTGTGTATATATGTGTGTCAAATATTGATATTTTTAAAAAAATATATATAAGTATTTGCATATACAAATATAAGTCATCCGAGATAAAATTCAGAGCTGCCACGAGTAAGATTTATTATTATACAATATAAATAGTATTTTTTTTTATAGCATTTTATACTTATTGTGATTATTGTATATACAATGATATATCTAAATCGACTAAATCATAAATCATAAATTTTATATTTTGTTATTATTATGATTATTATGATACATACTTTAAAGATGAAAGATGCTACATATAACTTTTTACAAACATGCAATTAATAATTAAATAACTGCGTTTAATTGTAAAATAAATTGATCTCTCAATTCATTTGTACTGAAATCCATGTCGTCATTGCTTTCTTCAAAAATATCTTGAACAGTGCCTGTTACAGTTTCTGTATCGTCCATCATGCTTTCTTCATAACGGGATGTATTACACTGCGCATGATTCTTTGTATCAACTTCCATATCATTTTTCATAGACTGAGTATCATTTTCTTCATCTGTAGTTAGTTTTAAATAGGCTTGGTGAATTTTGTTGTTACTTTTACTGATATCTGAGATATTGTTACTCGAAAAATTTTGCAAAACCGATAATGTTGGAAGCGGAAATCCATAATTTAACAACTTTTCGTATCCATTCATACCGCAAATTTCTTTAATTTCCACTGCCATTGCTAGAACTTTTTCAGGATATTTTTTCTTTGTACTGTCTATCAATATTTCGTCAAATTTACTCATACTTCCCTCCACGAGTTTTTTTCGTCTCATAAAAGTTTGCATATTTAACATCTTCCTTCTATATGTATTTGTATTTTTCTCTGATCGCTCAAGGTATTTCGAAGCCTTATCCAATTTCCAATTAAGTTCTTTTATTTGTTTATCTCTTTGCTTGATTTGATTTTCTAACTGTCTCTTTTGTTGACATTCGATAGTTATAGATTTCATTAACTTTTTATTCATCTGTTCAAAATAACTCAATCTGTTCGATAAATCATATGTCAGCTTATGTTTTACATTTATTTCTTTATGGCTTGTTGAAAATGGTATGCCAACTGTACATTTATTCAATTTATTCATCTGTTTTTCTATTTTCTTTATTCTTGCTTTGAGCATTAAATTTTTATTACGCAATTTTTTCTCCAAGTCCTTGAGCGAAATAAGTTGATTAGTTAATTCCCCAATGACAGTTTCTTGAAGTTTTACTTTTCGTTGTAATTTCTTATATTCACATTTATTAATATTATTCATTGTTGGTTGTTCAATATCGCTATTAATAATATTATTCATATCCAAATCCTTTTCTTCATCTGTATTTGATGATGATAATCTTGTATTTAGAAATTTATCATTTTTTAAATTTGACAAAGCAACTGGCATTCGATCGTCGTTTCTTGACGCAACACTCGTAATATATGGTGAAGAAATATTATCATTACATTTATCTATAGAATTAGTTTCTAGTGGATAATCATCTATTGTAATGATGGAAGTAACTAATGCATTATTTTTTTGCTGTGAACAAGTATTATTGTGTTCTTGAATAATAAAATCATTTTTATTATCTTTAAATACATCATGCATAATATCATATATATCCTCGCGATCGCCTGTAACTTTGACTGTAAATTTTGTTGTATCATCTTTATTATATCGCATAATTTCAGATGAATTCAGTTCTTCTTTTGATTTATTTTCTATTTCTACAATATCCGAAGTATCGCTGATATTCATAGAATTTGTATCTTCAAACGATGTATCTAGAACTGATGTTTTTATAGATCTCATAACTTCCTCTTGAATCGTTTCTTCATACCTTATAGCAGTCCTTGACGCAATATGTATATTTTCTCTGCTGGAAATGTCTTCTATACATTCAGTTTCAGTGATCTCTTTATCATTAGTAATACTATCGATACTTGTAGTATGCCGATTCTGTTTATTATTCTCATTAGTCTCATTATTAGAAAATGTATACTTAGGAATGCGAACAAATTCTTCACTGCTTTCACTACCAAAGATCATTTCGATGTTGTCTCTATTGTCAATAAGCATATCTTGAATTTCATTTTTCGACGAATATTTATAATTTATACTTTTACAAAATGGCGACTGTATTATTGGCTCTTCTATACTTCCTTTTTGATTCTTAGAAGTTGAGTTTAGTTCCTCTATATTAGACGTATTCTTTTCTTCACGATCATCACAAATTTGCTTTAATTTTTCCTCTATCTCATCATAATTATGATTGAAGATCTCATCATCTTGTTTTATTTCTGTTTTTACAATATCCTCACTTTGGTCATTAGTTGAATTTGTTTTTGTTATAAAATTTATAGCAGATACTTTATTCTTTATACATGCTTGCCCTTCAGAGTCATTTTCTTTGATATTACTCTCTATCTCCATATTATCATCTAAAATAATAATATTGCTCTGTAAAAGATTATTCGTAATATCTATGTAAAGTCCATGAGATGTCTGTTGTTTATTTTCTATCTTTTTTGAAAAATTATTTACTTGATGTTGTACAAGTGACCATATAGATGATTTATTAGTATCTTGCGAATCAGAATCTTTTCCTTCCAAGTGACTAATTAATGAATGGTCAGTATCATTTTCTACAGACTCTATCATATAACAGTTTTCTTTCTTTACATTAGTTAATTTGATATGCTTCTTGACAGATTTCCTGGTTGACGTTACAGTAAAAATAGATGGAATAGCATTCCTGTTTAATCTAAGTTTACCATCTGGGGTTAAAGACCATTCCTTTGAATCAAAATGTACGTGACAAAGAAAGGAATTGTTAGATGGTTCCCAATCAGCCCTAGCAACTCGGTCCTGCCAAATTTTTCTTAATTTTGGATCCCGAGGAAAACATTTCATAATATATCCTTTTTCACTACGATTGTTGCAACCAACAGCTGCACATCCTGGCATTTTTCATTAATGAAAAATAGTAATCTGTAAATTTGAAATAATATTAAAATTATAGTATAACAGCACAAAAAGTACATATTAAATGTAAATTATATTCCCCTCACCTTTTTACATATAAAATGCAAAAATAGATTTCATTATAAAAGCAAAGTGCAATTGAAACTACCATACTTTTAATTGTATACATTTTGATAAATTATTTTGATAAATTTGACATGTTGTATCATTTAACGATATTTAAAAAGAATTTAGAATTCTGTCTTCTTACCTCCCTCCTCTTGCACTACTAATTTCATTCCCTCCTCAAAGAGAGCATATACATCATGTAATATTCTTCAAAAAATGACAACATTATTCGTAAACAGTTAAATTCGTAAAGAAACTTTTCAACTTGGACGCTCAAATAACGTGTATATTGTCCAATTTTCTCATATCACGAAATAACTAACGTTTGGTTAGAATTCTGTGTCGCGTACTAATCGCGATGTGCACACATAGGTACGCTGCAACATGGCCACGCCGTTACTTTATTTTATAACCAATAATGGCGAATTCGATACATATGCACTGACCCTGTACTCTGGTGCTGCCCTGATATGGTGCAAGTGCAGAACCACTTCAATGCTTATTCACAGCACATGTTGCACAAAGGTTAATTGGTTATTAAAAAAATAGTATTTTAATAAAAAAAAATCATAAAGATGGAAACTGACGATAAAAGTACATCCTCCTTTAATAATTTAAGTACTTTAATGCTTCTTTCGGTAATTCTCCTTTATTTTGATTTTCGCTGCAAGTACCATACGCTGCACCGCCTCGAGAGATGATAGAAAAGCTCTATAGGTACTAATTTTCAAATGTCCGTTCTAGAATGCGTGCACTGTTTTGTCATGACGTAGTTCCGGCAAATAAAACGTAATACAATGGGCGTCCGTTAGTTCAAGTTAACAAAGCGGCTAGTCTGCTTGCCAAGCAAATAAAATAATTGGTTATTACTTATAGATCCAACCAATCATATTCGATCGGCAAGCGTACCTAACCGCTTTACCGTCTTAAATTCGCCCCAATGTCTTGCACTAAGTACAGTACAGCCAGAAGTCTGGATCCTCGGAGCCTGAAGAAGAAGAAGAAGTACAGTACAGAATGTGATGCACCGTCGTCAAAAAGAACAAGCCTATAAAATTATAAATTCAGCACTACCAGAGATCTCTCTGGCACTACACTGGAGCACACTGGAGTTTTCATTTGTCGAGTACAACAATCTCAACGTACTTGATAATAGTGCGCACAAGCCGAATGTGTAGCACTGAAAAAGTTGAGTAGTAGCACTCAGTGCGCACTAGTGCAGTCTGCCGAATTCGCTAATATGCCAGGTAATTAATGTACAATATATAAATGTCAATTATACCTATATTCCTTCCATGTGAATTTATAAGTTTTGATCAGTACCTTCCTCTCACACTTTTGTGTCAAGTTGAAATAATATTATAGGTATATAAAATAAGTAAGAAGATACTTATTGACCTAATTTCCTTGAATAGGTTAAAAGTTATTTACACATAAATGTACCTCTAGTAAACATAAAATATATTTAGCAGCAGAAAGATAACACGATGAATAAAAATACTCGTGAAACAACGCCGGGTGATGGCTTACGATCATTACGGAGTACTACATTATTCCGTGCCGTTAATTTCGAGTTATACATTAAGCCGGTAAGACTACAAAATGATAAAATATGTTGAAATTGAGTTCAATATTGCCTTCAATGAAATGTCATTCGCAGAACAAAACCATCATGATTCTTGGTATCATAGCAATGTTAAGTTGTTCAGGATATATATTCTATATGAATACTAATCAAAAGAGGGATGTTTATCATACTATGGTTAAATCAGACGAATCAGTGGTACTAGTGAAAAAATCATCCAAGTGGACTGATTAGGTAAAAAATCCTTGCAAATAACATATGAATATTACATTACTTTGTGTAATTGAATTTATTCCATTACATTAGTATTTGTTATAAGGTATTAGAGTTTAACATTTAGTATTAAATAAAAGCATTAAACTATATTCTTCAACAAAAAATTTGTTTATTTTTGGATTTGAGAAATGCATTTGTGTGATCTAAATACATATACACAACTTTTTATAGATATGACTATATGCATTAATCTATAATTGTTACAAATCTGCAACAATCATATAAAATCACTATACTGTGAAATTTTTACATCAAAATTGTATTATTTCGATAAATGAAAATAAAAATTTATTAAAATATATTCCGTATATAATAGAATTTTATTATAAAAATAATATAATTATATCATTAATTATATTTTATGTGATAATACATCGTAAACATTTTATTGGTAACAATTATAGGTTAACATTTCTCTCTTCCCTCTCTCTCATTTCTTCCTATATACATATATATGTATGCATACATACATATATGTACTTTTTATATACATACTATACATATAACTATACAGATTTTTTTATTCTTTTACAAAATATCAACATTTATAGTTTATATCAATTTTACAATTTTACTGCAATTTAGTATAATTGGCAGTATATTTGATTTTTTCTACTTATACATATCTATTTTTCATGATCATTAGTTGAGATTGAATTAGTCTTAATTTCTGAACAAAATAATTACCACAAAAATATATTCACATTAACTTTTTATCATACATATGTATGATATATATGTGTAATATTTTTTATATGTTGCTCTTACTATTCAATTTGTCAATATATTTGCATTTTAATAAAAATTTAATAAGATATATATAATTCTAATGTGTATTTGCGTGTACACACTCCTCTCTACAAGGAAGCCCATTGTGTGTTGGAAAATCAATAGAGATATCGCTAAATGTAATTATTTTACTATGTTCTATAATATCAATAAATTGCGATATCTATAAACTAACTTTTCTTTTTGTTTCTTTTAAATATTTATCTTGTGTAGTACCATTACATTGACATTACTGCTATGAAGAAAATATCTTCAAGTCTAATATAAAATCAAATCTAATAAATTTTTTTATCACACATAGATGATACAATTATTAAATTAGATTAAAATTACTATTATTTTAACACAAAAAATATTCTTCGCATTTCACCTTTCTTGATAATAGATATATATTTTCCTACACAAGCTGTCTATATATAATATATATATATATATATATATCTTTATCCTATAGTTTAAATAAAATCACTATGAGATTATATAGTAGATTAAATTATTAAATTCTGCTAAAATCTTCAATATCAAATGAGTTATATTTACTTTTCCTTATAATATTTTAGAGCAGAATTTTTCAACCAGTGTAATGTAAAGGATCTTGAAGTATACTAAAAAAATTAAATGAAAAAATTTAGAAATTAGTAAATAAGCTAGTGAGAGGCGCGAAGTAAACAATATTTTTTAAATTATAAAAATTACCTTAAGTAATATTTTTTTAAATTTTAGTTGAAGCGATATTGTCATTGTAATAAAATCACTCTTTAAATAATAATAAAATAGAAAAATAAAAAAATTTAGAACTTTATTGATTGAATGTGCTGGAGCTATCTGATAAAAAACCTATGCTAAACGTTGTGAATTGTATATACTTAAAGGCCTGCGTACAATGGAGGAAATATTAGGAATAGGAATAAGTATTAAGATTTCAACTTATCAGAAATCGCATATTCTAATGTCAACTGTTTCTCATAGATTAAAATCTTAATATTTCTTCCATTATGCGCAGGGTGATGTACCTCGACAAATTTAGTTCGGTATTTAATATGCTGCGCGAATTGAAAAAGGTTGAAAAACGTTGCTTTAGAGCACTCAACAATTTCCATGGCATAACAATTTTCGTAAACTACTAGATACATACATATGTATATATAACTTTTACTTTTAACAATATGAACTACATGTATATCTAAAAATTCTTTGTTTAAAATATGACAATTAATACACATAGAAAATTTGGCATCATTGTAATACTTTGCAGCATTTTGTACTTTATCCTGTAAAATTTTATAGTAAGGAAAAAAGTAGGATAAAAGACAATTTATCACAGGAATAATAATTGTATAGGTATATAAAATAATTTAATCTCAAAGTAGGATAAAGACAAAATGCATGACTTCGTATAACAAATTTCAGTATTAGTAGAAATTAATCATTTCTTTGATTACTAATTGGAAATTGAATTTTGTCATACAAAATATATATAATATATACATATAAAATATTGCCATATTCGTAATGTTGAGGCTTGATTATTAATTTGTATTTGTAATATTCTATTCTAACACATACAGTTGTTTTGTGCTTCTGGTAATAGCTTGATCGTTTCATTAATCGCATTTGCCACATAATCCAAATTATTTTCATTGAGCCCACACATATTTATACGTCCACTACGTAACATATAAATGTGATAATGATCTCTCAGATGCTGGACTTGCTTCTCTAAAAGAAAGAAGAAAACATTTTTTTTCGTGACTAGTTTTCAAACTGCATTGTAAAACCAAAAATATAATTTTTACAACTAACCAGTGAGTCCTGTATATGAGAACATTCCAATTTGCTGAATAATATGATCCCAAGTACCTGGGGTACCTAGTTTGAGCAATCTATGATGCAAACCTGTTCTCATTTGTTTAATTCTACTGGACATTGTTTTAATATGATCTTTCCTAAAATATTGAATTGTATTATTAAAGTAAATAATAAAGAATATGATTATTTTTTATAGATTTTTACAAATCAATACCATTCTTCAAAGAGCTCCGGATTTCTCAGCACAGTTGCAACAACTCGTGCACCATGATTAGGAGGATTGCTATACATTCCTCGGATAATTAATGTTAATTGTGATTTAGCTTGAATCATTTCCTTTGTATCGGCCAATACAAAAACTATGTTACCGACTCTTTCGTTGTATAATCCAAAATTTTTCGCAAAACTTTGCGTACAAATAAATTCGATTCCACGTTCGGCAAACATTCGTACAGCATACGCATCTTTGTCTAAATCTCCACTTGCAAAACCCTGTTAAAATCAATGTATAGTCTCAGACTTATCAGAATGATTGAGAAAAAGATTATATTATTTATTTGTATCATTTATTTGCTTATAAATATTAATTTAGATATAGACCTGGTATGCACTGTCAAATAGTGGGAAAAGTTTTTTTTCCTGAATTACATCAGCTATTTTTGTCCATTGTTCTGGAGTTGGATCACATCCAGTTGGATTATGTGCACATGAATGTAAAATAATTACAGCATTTTCTGGAGCATCTCGTAAATCCTGAAGCATTCCTTCTAAATTAACATTACGGGTCTTTTCATTCCAGTATGTATATTCACGGGCGTTTTTAAATCCTCCATTAGTAAACACCAGTCTGTGATTTTCTGTTAATACATATAATCTTACAATATATGAAAATATTCACCATTAGATGGAAGGGGGGGGGGAGAGAGAGAGAGAGAAGCAGGAAGAAGTTAATGTATTATTTTTTAAACTTTTACTTACCCCAGGAAGGTTTACTATAGTAAAAGGTATCATAATGTAGAATACGACTCAAAAATTCAGCAGCAACACGTAATGCTCCAGTACCAGAAAGTGACTGAATACCAAATGCACGCCCTTGGGCAATAACAGGAGAATTTGCACCTAATAACATACTTGTAGCAGCTTCGCTAAATGCTTCTAGGCCAAGAACTGGTAAGTATTCATGATTTTGTAAATCATCTGCTGCAATTGTCTTTTCTACCTTTTTTACAACTGGTAGAACCCATGGTTTACCTTCATTAGTGCGATAAGCTGAAAAAGATTTCTATATTTCTTAGTAATTCATTATAAATAGAATATAAAATTAATAATACAAAATTAATTAAATATATTAAATTACAAAAAGGAATATGAACATGTAAATGTTTTCGTGCAAATTAAGAAACAAAATTTTCTTATGTATATATTTATTTTTAATATTAATACTTATATTACAAATATATAAAAAATTAATTTATTAGATTTATAAAGTCTAGTTAATAATATTTGCATTACACATTGAGATTCTTATTTACTTTTATATATTATTTCCTTAAAATAATCGAGTTATGCAAT